CGGCCGGGAGGAGGGGACGGGCCGGGCCGGGGGCGGGGACGCGGCGGGGATGGGGATGGGGACGGGGCCGGCGCGGCCCCCCCGCCCCGGGCTGCAGCGGCGGGGCGCGGACGGGCACCGGGCACCGGCATCTTCCACCGCCGGGGCATCCCCGGCCTCCTCCCGGCACCGCAGCGCCCGGGCCCGGCAGCCGCCCCATCCCGGTGGGACCCGGCCGAGCCCGCACCCTGCAGCCGGGCACCCGCACCCTCCAGCCTTGGTACCGGCAGCACAAWCGTGCCTGCACCCAAAACAAGCTGCACCCTGCAGCCGGGCGCTCGAAATCGACCTTGCACCTTGCAGCCTGGCATGTGAACCCAGATCCAGGGCCGGACACTCGGCAGCCTGGCCCTGCCCAGCGGGTCCCACCCCGCCATCCTCCACTCCCACTGGGGTGTTTCCCGGGCAGGGCAGAGCGAGCAGAGCCGCCCAGTGCAGCCCTGGCCCCGCACGGCTCTTCCAGGCTGGTGGCTCAAGGCTTTTGTTGCGGGGTGCCCCAGCTCGCTCCAAAGCTTCTCCCCGACCTGGAGCAGAGATTTTGCTCCGTTTTTTTCCCAGCAGRGATGGGGGAGCAGGCCTCGGTCCATCCCTGGCGGGGATGATGCTYTGCTTTGTGTGAGCCGTGTTCAAGACATCGTCTCCTGCCCACGGCCCGGCTGCCCCCAGCAGCAGCTGCGGCACAGCAGGTGCCCCACACGCCCTCGCCAGCCCTTGAAATAACCCTTAATGAGCAGGAGGGGAAATGACCAGTCCCTCCCGATGGTACACGTGCGCCTCAAAGGCACAAAGAGCCTGGTGCCCGCAGAGCGCAGCAGCCGCCCAGCCGGTTAAATATTCATGGCTGTCCCTTCCCCAGGACCCCCGAGAACAGCAGCAATTCCTCAGCCCCCCGAGCAGTCAGATTGCTCGAGCAATCTCTTTAATGAGGATTAAAAATAATAGTCTAAAAAAATCAATTCCAGAGTATGGTCCTTTATTTATTTTTAAGAGATAATCCTCCTTTATTTTGCATCTGGTTTTAAAAATATTAAAAGCAGCCCTCACTGGAGCTTATTCTTACACCAGTGGCCATGCACTGGAGCCCGGCTGGGGATGCTCTGTGGCACCTGCCACCAGCAGCCACCTGAGCCCTGCCTGCAGTGTCCCTGCCAGGGGACAAACTGCCACAGGGCCCCAGTGCTCCAGTGATGGCTCTTCTGCTCCTCCTGCTCCTGCAGAGGTTTCCACTGTGCCCTCTGCCTCAGCCATGGGTTGTGATGGCCGAGGTGTCCCTTGGGAGAGGCATGGGCACCTGCTCCAGGTGCTGCCAAGGCACTGAGTAAGGGGGGTGCTGCAGCTGCAGGACCCCACTGTCCTGTGATGCTTCCAAACTCCTGCTCCATCCCCATGGCAGCATTGAGGGGTGCTGCTGCTGCCACAGATCACGGTCAAGCTCGCCGCCTCCATCTGCTCCACTCAGCCAAACCCTTGGGGCTGGRCACTCTCATCCCCTCCTGCCCCAGATGATGCCCAGCCTGAGGATGGAAGGGCTGTGGGCTCCCAGGCTGCCCTAGGAGATGACTGATCCCTGCAGGAGCCGCAGCAGCTGCTCTTGGCGCAGCACCCTGGGCATGGGCAGGGGTGAGCCCAGCGCTTCCCGCAGCCGGGTGAAGCTCCCAGGCCTCACCAGGTGCAGGCGCAGGGGCCCAATGCTGCCCTTGAAGCGGAAAGATTTGTAGACRGGGAAATCCTCCTGGAGACACTGGTCCAGCTGTAAGGAGAGGGCAGCTGCCTGTGCTGGCCGCACACCACCTCCCCAGCACCCTCAGCCACCCCACACAGACCCAGAGCAGAGCCCAGGTCCTGCTCACCTTGTAGCGCTGCCCCTCTGACAGATCCCGCAGGCCCTGCAGCTCCATGAACACCTCGTAGTGGGGGGCACAGGGCCCTGAAGAGTCACCTGGAGCGGCACCGTGGGCATGACAGAGCTGCCCGCAGCCCCCTACCCTGCTGGGCACACACCAGGGGCAGCCCCCAGCCCCGCTGGGCACACACAGGCAGTGCCAGCTACATTTCAGGGGGACTCAAACAGATCCAGTGAGGGAGGAACTCACCCAGCAGGCTGCTCTCTGCACAGACGTAGTCAATCAGGCGAGCACCCGGCCACATTTTCAAGGTGCGGCACAGGCTCTGGCAGAACTGCTCCTCAGGGATGCTCTCGCCTCGCACGCTCAGCGTCTGGCTCTCACTGCGGTGCAGGGACACAGGGTGGGTCACTGGCACCCTCCTGTGAACACCCTGCCAGTRCATGGGCCCAAATCCCCGAGGTGAGGGGCAGGGATTGGGGTGTCCTCACCTGCGCACGGGTTCCACCACGGGACACTGCTTGTGGAAGCCGGCCACCCTCAGCACCTCCCCGGTACGGCACCTGCACGGGCAGGGAGGGTGTGAAGGGGAGGTGGGTGCATGGGGCTGGGGCAGGCAGCCCCCCAGGACTGCAGGGCAGGCAGCAGGGTCACCTGTACTCTCCTGGCTGGGCTGTCACAACCAGCCCATACTCGCGGCTGTCCCAGAGCTCATCCAGCAGCGCTGTCCGTGGCTCCTTGCTGGCTGGGCAGGGMAGGAACTCGTAGAAAGCCCAGTCAGGGCACAGCAGGAATCGGGGTGTTGGCTCCCCTGGCCACAGGTTTACACCGAGGAGGGCTGGGCAGAGGCAGTGTGTGTCAATGAGAGCCCCAAATCCTCCCATCCTCGCCCAMACAAGCCTCAGCCCCCTCCAAGGGGGAACAGTTTTTTTCTGGTGCCAGGACAGAGCTGTTTCCAGGTTGTAGGAAACAGCAGCACGSAGATGCACCAGCATCTGGCGGGGCAGGGAGATCTGTGCTGCCATATGGCAGCAGCTCCCTGCGGACACCCRGGGCAGGCCACGGGGACACCCCAGAGCGGGGGACACTCACATCCTGCCGCCCGGTAGAAGGGGCAGTAGAAGGGCAGCCCCTGGCAGTCCCCCTGGCGCAGGGAGTCGCAGTAGAGCCGCTCTGCTCCGTGCRCCGTCCTCACCACCACCGCCTCCAGCTGCGGCCACAGACGCAGMGCGATGCCCTCAAAGCCACGGGCGCACTCGGCGCGGAGCTCCGCTGCCCGGGCAGCATCAGGGCTCAGCAATGCCTGCAGCCGCTCCCGCACCTCCTCGGGCAGCCCGGGCTGGGGGCTCAGCCTGCCCAGCGCCAGCTCCTGGGCCAGCTGGGGCCACTCGGTGCGCAGGGCCAGCAGCGCGTCGTGCAGCTCGGCTGCCAGCCCGGCTTCCAGAACGCGCAGCGCCYGCTGCCTCAGCGCAAAGAGCAGCTGCACCCGCAGCGCGGCGGCCCGAGAGAGCAGCGTGCCCGCAAGGGCCGGAGTGCAGTACAGGGTGGGCAGCGGCCACCCCGCCGGRGCGAGGGGACAGCCAGGGGTCCAGTGCAGCAGGGCCGTGCCCCGGMGGGTCAGTGCCCGCGGGAAGGCGGCGCCGAGCGCATCCAGGTAGAGCAGGGAGCCCTGCGAGAGAGGAGAGGGTGAGGAGGGCAGAGCCCGYGGGGCTCCGCGCCCACCCCGCCCGCCGCTCCCCGCACCTGCAGCGGAGGGTCGGTGTCCCAGCAGCCGCGGAGCAGAGCCCGGAGGTGCAGCGGGGGAACCGGATCCCCCGGCGCTCCGTCTCGACAGGGCTGCCCCAGGGGATGCCKCTCCTGGAACTCCTCCGAGCCTGCYGGGAGAGGCACGAGGTGAGAGGGGCAACCACGGGACCGAGCCCCTTCCCGCGCCCCTTCCCGCAGCCCCGCGCTCACCGCCGGCCATCCCGGTGCCGGTGCCGGTGCCCAGCAGCCGCCGCAGCCGCCGCTCCTGGCTCAGCCGCACATCGCTGCCCAGCGCCTCCAGCCGCCGCCGGTACCGGTCCCCGGCGCTGCGCAGCGCGGAGCGGACGAGGCGGTGCCGCACGGCGGGGACAGCCACGGCCACAGCCATGGTCACGGCCACTGCCACCACCGCCGCGACCGCCACCGCCACCGCCGGCAGCATCGCGGAACGCGGACGCCGCCCCAGAGCAGGGACGCGGCCCTGGACCCCTCTCGCCCACCCGGCTATTCCGCCTCCGGCAGAAATGACGGAGAACTATCGCGCCCGGCGCCGCCCCCCCCTCCCCGCTTTACTTTTATTTTCATTTTCGCCTTTACACAGCACCCCCGGAGCCCCCCGCTTGGCGGGGAATTCAACCGCAATTGAACCCCGAGTACCAGCGCCCCCTGCTCCTCCATCAAGAGCAAGCTCCTTCGGGAAAACTGCAACTGATCCGGTTTACTCTGCTTTTTACCCGGAAAAACGGCCTCAGCCCCAGCCCAACCCCTGCTCCCCACCAGACAGAGCTCCCCGGATCCGCTCAGCTTGTGCCAACGGAGGGCCGACCACCCTGCCCTCGGGGACAGGGACCCCGAACCCTGGGCCCAGCCCCAGCATTTATCGSGTGCACCCCAGAGCTTTGCTGAGGGTCCCCCCTCTGTCCCAAGACACACGTGGCACCCAGAGCTTTTGTGTTACAAAAATATTCCGTGCTTTATTTACTCTGTGATAGAAAAATAACATGGCCAGGACCCCAGAGTTTCCCGCCCAAGCGAGGGAAGAGGCGGGGGGCAGAGGCCTCCGCTTCCCCAAACCCCCTGCCCACCCGACTGCCCTCGCCGGGTGCCCTCGCACCCTGCCACCCTCACCGGCTCCAGAGGGGACACCGAGGCCGGGAGCCGGAGGGGCTCCTGCATCCTTGCGGGCAGAGGAGAAGATGAGGTCCAGGGACCCTGCCACAGCGGAGCAGAGCACCAGCACGGGCTGGGGGAGCCCTGGCCGAACCCCCCCTCTGCCCTCTGCCCTCACGCACCCCTGGGAACGGAGCCACGGGGGAGAACAAGAAGGCGACACGTACATTCTTAGTGACGACTGCGAAAGCGAACCTGAGGCCRGGCTGGCGGCCCCCGCCCCGGTGGCCCCACGGGGGAACGGGGGAGCCGCRGGGCCAGCGCTGGCAGAAGCGGAAAGCCGAAGCTGGGCCTCTTAAAAGGAACATACAGGAAAAACCATGCGACAAATCCGCTGCCGTTTATACAAGGGCATAAACACCAAAGAGCTGGACGCCAGCCTGTGTTTCGGGGCAGCACAGAGCAAATCCTGGGGGCAGGGCCCTCCCGCTGTCCCCTGGCACAGAGACACGAACACAGCACAGTCCCCGCAGCGCCGGGGCCCGGGGCAAGGGACCAGGCACGGGGCTGTCACGACTGGGCGTGGGGGATCCACTGACTGTCCACGGGGCGCCGCAGCAGCTCCTCCACGTGCCTCGCCACATCCATGGTGTCATCCAGGTCAAAATCACCCTCRGGGTCCAGCACAGGGTCGGGACTGCGGGAGGCAGGGGGTGAGGGGGGGACCAGCCGCGGTAGGAYGGGGACAGGAGATGTGATACCTACTTCTGCGTGTACATGTTGTAATGAGGCTGGGAGCAGACGGCTGGAGAGGGCGCCTGGTCCATGTAGGTGGCCCCTCCAGAGGCAGAATCGCCTGATGCATTGACAAACCTGTGGGGATGGGTCTCATGAGCATTGGTATGGGACAGGATTGGTTCACCCAAATGGCCAAGGTGTCTCCCAAAGCTCAGCACCCAGACCTGAGCTCCACAGCGCCCTGGACTGCCACCCAACCCAGCCAATTCAACGCTGGGAACCCACGGCAAACCCTGCCCAGGATCCGCCTTCAGTGTCACACTTACTCTGGCACCACTTGCTTGATCTGTGGCTTCACATATCCATCCACAGCTTTAGCTAGAGAGGRAAGAAGGCAGCACTGAGGCCCCAGGCTCCAGCACATGCCACGACCCCAGGCAGCACTGGGGGCTCACTCGTGGCCAGAGGCAGAGCCCCCATGGGGCCAGCGTGGGCCAGGGGGATGCTGAGAACACCAGCTCCACCCTGGCTGGATGAACAAAGGAGGGGACGCACAGGGGGTGAAGGGACAGCGCTACCTGGCGTGGACTCACAGAGAACCGGCGTGTAGTACTTGGAGAACACCTCGTCCTTGGGCCGGTCGGGGAACACATAGATGAGGTAATTGAGATCCCCGAGGCGGTCGGCCAGGGAGCGGATGGAGAAGTCCCTGGTGGTGAAAGGCATCAGGTTCCAGAACATCCTCTCAGCTGCAAGACAAGAGCGAGGACCACGGTGACTACCAGAGCTTGAAGCAGCTCCTGGACCTGCTGTGGACATGGGCTGCAAGGTCACTTCAAGCACCAAAGAGCATGAACAGTTGAGGATGAAGCAAAAAATGGGAAAAGGCAGGAAGCACAGCAAAGCCAAGGCAGATCTGGCCTCATCCTGACACTTGGGGGGCAGGTTCCCCAACCTTGGGGCTCCATGGGGCTTCTCAGCCATGCAACCCTCCAAAGGACGCTGTCACAAACAAGAAGCAGCATCCTGCATGGGGTCAGGCCACCCCTGAAAACTCCTGCCCTGGGGAGCACCACTGAGTCACTGCATTTTGTACAGTCCACATCAGTCCCCAGGGCTGGGTCAGAGGGTCCAGCCTGGTCCCTCCTCCCCGCTGCTGCCAGCGTTTGGGCCTGGCACACCCACAGCACCACTCCCCGTGGCACAGCCAAGGCATTCTGCGGGCTCCTGCGCTCGCCCCTTTCCCAGGATGGCTCCAGTGTGCCCTGCCGTGGCASTGCCAGCACCCCACGGTGGTGGCATGAGATGGCCAAGCCTCAGGCTGGGGCCAGGGACACTCATTCCAGGGGTGCCAGCTCCCAGGGCACACTCACAGGAGTCGAACTTCCAGGCAATGGTGATGCCGCCGATCTCCGAGTCGCTGAAGCGCAGGAGGAAGGTCCCRTCGGGTTTGTTGATGAGCAGGTCGTGCGCCTGCTGCTTGTTGACGAAGCCCAGGATGGCCCTAGGCAGAGTAGGGCGTCAGGGCTCGGGGCTCGGGCCGGGCAGCACGGGGCAGGGCGGCTCTTACCCGTCATTCCAGTGCGGCTTCAAATGCTTCTTCAGCACCTCCATGACCCCGTCAAACCACTGCCAGAAGGTGTAATTCCTCCCGGGCAGGTTTTCCTGTTGAAACCCTCAGAAAATGAGCGCTGCCATCGCCAGCCTCTGAGCTTCTGTGACACAGCACAGACACTGGGTGCAGCAGCAGAGACTCGGGGACCCCCAGGTGGGTGTTCCCTTCCATCCCCCTCAGCACGAGCCCTGGCAGGGCTCCGAACCCAGGCTGCTCACCCTGTTGAACTGGGACCAGGACACCGTGGTGCTGCTGTATTCCTCCAGGTGGTTGCTGGTGCTGTTGAAGAGTTTTTGTGCCAGGAACACCAGGTTCTCCTTGGTCAGCCCACGGCTGCTCTGCACCTCCGCTTTGAATTTCATATTGAGCGCCTCGCAGAGCTGCGGCCACTGCACCTTATCGGGCACGGCGAAGGGCACACGGCCCTGGGGGAGAAAGATGGGTCAGCACCAGCTCTCCCTGACRCCTCTGTCATGTCCCTACTCCCTGTTTCAGGGCTGATGGGGTCAGTCCTGCCCCCCATGGCACTGGCACTCACAGGTTCAGCGAATGCATTGTCCCAGAGCACGGTGGCCGTGGCGTTGTTGTCCTGGCTGCCGTGCACAATCACCACCACAGGCAGGGACAGTGTCTGCCGAGAGGAAAGAGAACACAATGGGATGTGGGGCATCCAGGGAGCATCACCCACGGGCAMCCTGCGGCCCCAGCCCAGCCCCATCCCTGCGGGCACAATGCCCATGGCTCGCCTGCAGAGGGGACATGGTGGCTTTACCTTCACCTGGAAGACCAGCTCGTTCCCACCAACGCTGAACTGTGACTCGAAGAGGATGGTGAATTTCTCCTCTGTCACCGACTCAGCCCCGCGGCGATCCGAGCGTTTGATCCGCTTCAGGGACTGCAGGGACCCGAGGGGTGAGCACAGAGGAACAGCTGGGGACACCGGGGTGGACACAGAGGGACACCAGGGGACAGGAGGGGGAAGCAGGGGCGCTCACCATGTTGCGGAAGTGKGCGCTGAGCGTCCCCGTGGCCTGGTGATACTCCATCACGCAGCAGTTGTTGAGGATCTCCCCGCTGCTCTCACTGCCACGGGAATGCACAAAATCAGGGGACCACCGGCACTGGGAGCAGTGTGAGTGCAGCCCCCTCCCCACCACACCCCACTAACTCCAGCCCCTGGCACTGGGAGCAGTGTGGGTGCAGCCCCCTCCCCACCATGACCCACACTCCCAACCCCTGGCACTGGGAGCAGTGTGGGTGCAGCCCCCTCCCCATCATGCCCTGCTAGCCCCAGCACCCCCACTCACACTCCCAGCCCCTGGCACTGGGAGCAGTGTGGGTGCAGCCCCCTCCCCACCATGACCCACACTCCCAACCCCTGGCACTGGGAGCAGTGTGGGTGCAGCCCCCTCCCCATCATGCCCTGCTAGCCCCAGCACCCCCACYCMCACTCCCAGCCCCTGGCACTGGGAGCAATGCAAGGTACAGCCCCCTCCCCACCATGTCCCACTAAACCCAGCCACCCTGCCCCACACTCCCAGCCCCCCGCACTGGGAGCAATGTGAGTGCGGCCCCCTCCCCACCATACCCCACTAACCCCAGCCCCTAGCACTGAGAGCAGTGAGAGGTGCAGCCCCCTCCCCACCATGCCCTGCTACCCCCAGCCACCCACACTCCCAGCCCCCAGCACTGGGAACAGTGTGAGTGCAGCCCCCTCCCCTCCCCAGCACACCCCACTCCCCCAGCAGCCCCAGCCCCTGGCATTACTTGCGGGTGCTCTCGTTCTTCAGCAGGGCCTTGGCYTGCTGCTCGCTGATGATGGTGGCCTTCACTTGGGGTGGGTTCATGTGCACGTTCAGCTTCCCCCCCACCAGGAGCCGCACGGTGGCCGCAAACTTGGTCTGTGTCTTCAGCACCTGGGGGGGCTGCTTCTCGATGATGAAGGTGCTGGGGGAGCAGGGGGGTCAGGGGAGTGGGCAGGGCAGGGCAGGGCCAAGCCAGCCCCCCRCCCAGCTGTGCCCAACAATACCTGGTGACCAGGGCAGAGATGATGTCGGTGATGGTGCCGTTGAGCTCTGACAGCATCTCCTCCACCGGGCCCGGGATGGGCAGCTGCTGGCACAGGTGCTCGGCACGGCGGATCTGCTGCCGGTTCTGCCAGATGATCTCCGCCAGCTTCTCACACCTGGGGGCAGCCGGGCTCAGCGTGCACCGGGGTCAGCACCCCGTGTGCCATCCCGCCCCGCCGGGCACTCACCAGGTCTGCAGCACGTCCAAGGTGCCCTCGGGTGGGCCCCCGTTGCCCGCCAGCTGCTGCCGGCGCTTCCACTGGATCAGCTCGTCGTCCAGGATGGTYGTTTGCTGCTTGCGCAGCAGCTGCAGCGTCTTCTGGTGCTTCTCAGCCAGGTCCTGCGAGGAGGGACAGTGTCACAGGAAGTGGGGACAGTGTCACAGGGTGTCATGGGGAGCAGGGACAGTACCACAGGGCATCATGGACAGCATCACAGGGTACAGGGACAGTGTCACAGGGCATTGTGGGGAGCAAGGACAGTGTCACAGGGTGCAGGGACAGTGTCACAGGGTGTCATGGGGAGCAGGGACAGTGGCACAGGGCATCACGGGGTGCAGGGTCAATGTCACAGGGCATAATGGGGAGCAGGGACAGTGTCACAGGGCATTGTGGGGAGCAGGAACAGTGTCACAGGATGTCACGGGGAGCAGGGACAGTGTCACAGGGCATCATGGGGAGCTGGGACTGTGTTACAGGGTGTCACGGGGCACAGGGACAGTGTCACAGGGCATCATGGGGAGCTGGGACTGTGTTACAGGGTGTCACGGGGCACAGGGACAGTGTCACAGGGCATCATGGACAGCATCATGGGGAGCAGGGACAGTGTCATAGGGCTTCATGGACAGCATCATGGAGCACAGGGACACCAGCACAGGGCATCATGGGGTGCAGGGACAGTGTCACAGGGCATCATGGGGAGCAGGGAGAGTGTCACAGGGTGTCATGGGGTGCAGGGTCAATGTCACAAGGTGTCACAGGTAGCAGGGACAGTGTCACAGAGCATCACACATAGCAGAGGACAGTCTGTCACAGGCTGCCATCACTCACCACGCGGTACTGCTGTAGTGTCTGCGCCTCRCGGTGCAGCCAGGCCTCCAGCGACGCCTTTTTCTGCTGCAGCGTCGTCTCCCGTGACATGCGCTCCTGGGGACCCAGCTGGGACAGCTGGGAGAACTGGGCTGGGGGACAGGGAACAAYGTCAGGGCTGGTCCTGTCAGCACCCCGGGCCCGTGCTCCTCGGCCCCCCACCCACCTTGGAGGCGCATGTTCTCCTGGTACTGGATGATGAAGTATTCCTGCGTCTGCTGCAGCTTTTTGAGCTCGTTCTCCGAGTCCTGCGTGATGAGCCGCAGCTCCTCGAAGGTCTGGTTGATCTGCAGGTGCTTCTGGGACATGGCGTCCACCAGGGAGCCGGTTGGGGAAGGGCTCTGAATGGGGCACAGGGCACACTCAGCACGGGGAGGSGGTCTTTGTTTATTCATGTTTTATTTTAGAAGTTTTTATATTTATACATATATATATAAAAGCAAACTCTTTACCAATACTTCTCAAAAAGTGGCACAAAAATACAGTACAAAAACACAGCCTCCAGTACAAGACCCGCAGTTACAGCAGCACTTTCTAGAACGTCAAATCCAAGATCAGCTAATGCGTGAAACGACAAGGCAGTGAGGAATTCACTGGGCTGTTCATCGTGAAGGAGACCCCCAGAGCATCCCCCCAACCCTGCAGAACCCTCTCCCTCCCCATCCCAACCCTCACTCACGTTGTTGGCCTCCCGCACCAGCCGCTGCTCGTGGTAGAGGATGTGGCGGATGCAGCGCACCAGCTCCATGGGGCACCGGTCGTACGTGTTCTGTGGGGACAGCACGGCCTGAGCCAGGCACGGGGCAGGGACCCCACTGGCCCCACAGCCCTGCCCACGGCCCCCCACTCGCCTGCAGCTGCGTGGCGTAGTGCCCCAGCTTGATCTTCAGCAGGAAGCCGTCCTCACCCACTTGGTGGTCCGCYTTCTTCTGCAGCTCCTGGATCAGCCCCTCCAGAAGCTGCGTGGCCTTCACGTTCTCCTGGGGGTTGTCAAGGTCAATGGAGTCCCTGCGTGGAGCAGAGCGGTGTCAGGGCAGTGGGGAGCCACCAGCCCCTCGGGGTGGCCGCTGCCAAGCCCAGCACCCCTCTGGGGACCTCTGGGGATCTCTGGGGACCTCTGGGGACCTCTGGGGACAGGACACCCCGACCTACCATGCCTGGCTCTCGATCCATTGTGACAGGTAGTGCCGCACCTCGATGGGGAAGTGCTGCCCGTAGAGCGCCTGCATCTGCCGCAGGGCTTCTCCCTGGAGCTGCTGGGCCTGGATCCACACCGCCATGGCTCAGCACCTGCGGGAAATAGGGAGGGAGGGAGGGAGGGAGGGAGGGAGGGAGAGCACTGTCAGGGCACCTGCAGGACTCAGGCAGAGGAGTCTGGCCCTGCTCCCTTTGCAGGATTCTCCGTGTTCCCGAACCCTTTACTGGAGTGGATGGAGTCTCGGGCGCTACCAGCGCTGTCTGCAGCTGCTGAAAGAAGGGACACGCGGGGGCAGCGGACCCTGGCTCTGAGTCACCCCCTCTTTTCTAGGAACAGCCCTGGGGGTGCCCGGAGCCAGGGACGTGCCTCTGCGCGGCCTCTCCACATGGTTCTCATTTCCCCTCGCCGCGCCACGGGATGGCAGCCACGGCTGGCCACGCGAATGAGGAAACGGGCCAGGGGGAGGAAGGGCTGCCCAGAAATCCAGGGTGACGCAGAGCAGAGGCCCCCGCTGCGCTCACCCCGCTGCTGCCCACACCCTGGCAGTGCCGACACGCAGGAGCAGCCCCAGCCCCAAAACCCCACACCGTCCCTGAGGAGTCCCCACTGTGTGCCCCATGTCCTGGTGGGGACGCACAAACCTCCCCAAAGCAGTTTTTRGGGTGGCTCCATGCAGGGATTCTGTGCACCACACAGCCTTGGCTCCCCTGGAGGCAGGCAGGGGTGAGATGTGGTGACAGCACCTCCACTAAAATCCAGTGTGTAATCCCCTGGGCAGTCACACCCGTGGCTCGAGGGAGCTGCAGGAACAACCTGCAGTTGGGTGTTTGAGGGTGACACAATGGTGAGCGACACGGGAGGGCCTGGGGGGCTCAARGTTCCCCTGCATGAGGAGATGCAGTAAACAACATTTAAATACACTCACATCCAACCCATCTGGGATTTGGCAGCACACAGAGGGGCCAGRCAGGGCAGAGAGGCCTCGGGCATGTCCCAAGGCCGGGTGAYCAGAACAGGACCTGATCACTGAACRGGCTGGCGACAAGCAGAGGGACTGAGCCAGCGGGGGCYGTGCTTCCCCCTGTCCCCAAAGCATTTTGTTCAGCCTCACAAACACCCAGTGGCCCACAGGGCTCCAAAAGTGCTGTCATATGGTCAGGGGCACACACTGGGGGACAGTGGCAGTGGGTCCGAGCGGAGCAGCCACAGCCAGAGCCCCTGAGCCAGGCACACCCGCCCCCGAACAGGAAGAGGAACAATAACCCTGAGCTGGCTAAAAATGAATTTTTCCCCTATAAAAAGGGAGGAACGTTTCCACATTCACAGAAATCACCAAGYTGGAAACGCTGCTGGCAAGGAGGGGCCTGGGGAGGCAGAAGAACGCCAGCAAGGAGGAAAGGGAAGGTGGGATGGCCGACAGCAGGACATGCTGCTGTTGGGAATTGCGGACGCCTGATAAGGGGCAGAGCCAGGAACAGCCAYGCCAGTGCCACCACACCACAGAGTGACCGAAGTCCCCAGGACTGCGGGGACATCTGCATGGACACAGAGCAAACAGACACTGCCCTGCCTGATAAAATGGTGATCTCTTCCCATCTCACAGTGACAAAACACTTCCTACTCCACTCCAGCATGTTGTTAAGCAACGAGCCTCTGGCTGCTCTGTGGCGAGACAGCAGGCACTGCATTTGGCCAGTGCCAGTCGGGAGCAGGAACACCAGCATCCCATCCGCCTCTACAAGGGGCTGTGCAGGCAGAACCCACCTGGTGTGTGCCCCAAAACACCATTTGCACCAGGCTTGGGCACAACCTCCACAGACATTGCCAATGCAGCAGGACATGCCATTTCTCCAAGCACCTCATTTTTGTCTCTTGTGCCTCACCTGTGGACAAACCAAACCTCCCCGTGGGCTGCAGGGTACCCTGACCACCCCAGCACGAGTGACCAGTGCCACTTGCCACGGGCAGATGTTTGTCCCTGTGACTCAACACAGCAGCTCCGTTTCAGCACAAGCTGCAGCACCATGATACCACCAAAAACCTGCCAGCCTTTCCAGGCAGCCCTGCCTCCCGCTCCTGGGACCATGCCCAGCACCTCGGTGGCACCACCCAAGGGATTCACCCCCGTGCCCAGGGACACTCACCCACCCCAGTGCCACCTCCAGYCCCAGCAGGGCGGCTGCAGCCTCAAGCACTGCCGTGGGTCAGCCACGCTGCAGCCGCCGGCCCCGTGCGCGCTCCAACAACTGCAAGAGGCAGATAATTGTCGTGGTTTGGGCTACTTTGCATTTACTCGCTGGCAGCGAGCTGGAACCCACCCGTCACTGCGGCTCGGTTAACCAGCAGCACTCGACAAGCCACAGCAACGCGCTCACCGGAGACTCTCTGCCTGTAAAGCGGCACAGGGAGCAGCTCCCCGGGTTAGGGCCGCTGCTGAGAGACCCCAGAGCTGTGGGGAGGAACCCCAGAGCTGTGGGAACAGCAGAGAGGGAGATGCCAGCAGTCATTGCTTCTGCCTCTTACAACCCTGCTGCCCGCTGCTGATGGGGAAGCACTGCCAAACCCAATGCAAAACAGGAGAAACCCACCCAAAATTGGCACTCAGGCAGGCAGAGGCAGCAGGGCAGGAAAGGGTGAGCACGGGGGAGGCGGCAGCTCCGCTGGGGCTGGGCACAGCCAGGGGAGTGGTGTGACCACACCGGGGAAGGGTCGCAGCCACGGCGGCAGCAACAAGTCCCGAGCTGCAGGAGAGCCGGAGCACATCCGTGGGCAGCCAGAAGGGAAATGCCTCACAGACTGAAAACAGCAGCGGCACCTTCCCACGTGCCACGGGCACGGCAAAATCCAAACACACGCAGACTGTGCGCGGGATGCTGGCTGCACACATACACTCATCCCGAGGGCTCCTCTGAGAGGGACACCCCTGCCCTGCTGCTGGCACAGCCCCCAAAAGCAACCTCTGCCCTRACCCACGCCTCGAAGGGCCAGCAAAACCCTAGGGAACACCACAGCAAAGCGCTCTGGCTGTAATCCCCCCGCCCCGCTCCCCTCCGCCGCGGCACTGCCCTTTGGCCGGGGGCTGTCCGGAGCCCGGCGGTGTCCGGAGCGCTGTCCTCCCGCGGCAGGGGCGCGGCGCTGGGCTCCGGAGGAGCGGCCCTGCGCCCGCTGCGCCTCCCGCCGCAGTAAACACGGACACGTGGTTTCTCGGCACCTCCGGGAACCCGCGATCGCTTCCAGGTCAGAGCCGGCCCCGCTTGTGGCCGCACGGCCGGACCCTGCACCCTGCGGGGCCACCGCCGAGGGGMTCCGGTGCTGCCCCGGCCAGCGCTGCCCCTGTCCCCTAAGGGAAGGTGTCCTGCAGCCCTCCAAGGTGGGCAGCCCCAAGCGAGGTCCCTCCAGGGCGGGATCCGGCCCCGGGCACGGTGGGGTGACAGCAGCGAGCGGCTCCGGTTACCCCAACACAAACACCCCGCTCTCCGCTCACAGCGGCCCCCCGTCCGCTCCAGCTCACCCCAGGGCTCCCGCAGCCTGGTGTGGGGTGTCCCGTCCTGCAGCAGCCCTTCCCCAGGGTCCGGCCCCGCTCTGCCCCACGCCGCTCCGATGTCCGGCCCCAGGACAGCCCGGCCGCGGCTCTCGGCGGGCACAGCCSGGCTCCCGGGCGGCCGTTTCGCTGGCTGCGCACTACAGGAAGGAGCAGAGAGCAGCTATTTCCTTCCAAAATGTCAGCTGCCTGCGCAGGACAGCCTGCCCCCACTGCTGGCAGCCTCCTCTGCCAGTGCCGCCCGCGGGGTGCCCGCCGGGCAGTGGGGCTGACACACTCTGTGGTTCGGCCACTCACACCTGGCCGTGGCCAGAGCAGGCACAGCCTCTGTCCCTCAGCAGGTCAGTGGCACCGASCCCCCTGGCTGGCTGAGAGCTGGACGGGACCCCAGGAACCCCTGCWGGAGTTTGGAATGGGGGAAAACGGGACCCACTCACCTGAACCCCCCAGCTTCACTCACAACCCCCAG